CTCTAGCTTAGCTTTAGCTTAGCTTTAGCTTAACTTTAGCTTTACCTTAGCTACACCTTAGCTTTAGCTAGCTTTAGCTTTAAGAGCTTCAGCTGAGCTTTAGCTTAGCTTTAGCTTAGCTTTAGCTTAGTTTTAGCTTAGCTTTAGCTTAGCTTTATCTTAGCTTTAGCTTAGCTTTAGCTTAGCTTTAGCTTAGCTTTAGCTTAACTTCAGCTTAGCTTTAGCTTAGCTTTAGCTTAGCTTCAGCTTAGCTTTAGCGTAGCTTTAGCTCAGCTTTAGCGTAGCCTTAACTTAGCTTTAGCTTAGCTTTACAGTTACTACTAATGCTGCTTTCCTAGGGGCTCCAACTCCTAGGGAGGGTCGCACTGGGACAATTCTACTGGTGCTACTATTACTACTACTACGACGACGACTGCTACTACAACTACTACTACTACGACGACTACTACTACTTCTTCTTCTACTCCCACTGCTATTACTATTTGGTCACTGCTACTCCTACTACTACTAGTACTACTACTACTACTACTACTACTACTACTACTACTACTACTACTACTTCTACGACTACTACTACGACTACTATTACTACTACTACTACTACTACTACTACTACTACTACTTCTACTGGTACTACTACTACTACTACTACTACGACTACTACTACTACTACTACTACTACTACTACTACTACTACTACGACTACGACTACGACTACGACTACGACTACGTTTACGACGACGACTACTACTATTACTACTACTACTACTATTACTACTACTACTACTACTACTGCTACTACTACTACTACTACTACTACTACTACTACTACTACTAGTACGACTACTACTACTGCTACGACGACGACGACGGCGGCGACTACTACTACTACTACTACTACTACTACTACTACTACTACTACTACTACTACTACTACTACTACGACTACGACTACAACTACTACAACTACAACTACAACTACTACTCCTAGTAATATTACTACTACTACTGCTACTACTACTACTACTACTACTACTACTACTTCTTCTACTACTACTACTACTACTGCTACTACTACTACGAATACTACGAATACTACGAATACTGCTACTACTACGCGCGCCGACTGATCCGTCCCCAGTTGGCTTTTTTGGGAAGTGAATGTTTGCACGTAAGCCTACCAGCTTGGTATTAATACCTTTTCAGGACGACCCCGTTCGAATTAGTCGCCACATTTACGCTCAAAAGCTGGACCATTCCCTGGTGCCACGGGGAAATGGACCAGTTCACCGGGGTATGGACCAGGTCGCCGGGGTATGGATCAGAAACGTCTGGATGGACCCAGGTCAGTAGGTCCCCGACCACAAGGTACCGATACCGCTATTCCCTGGACCTCGTCAGGAGTGCTTTCTGACCAGGATTTTTAGGCGAGTGCAGATGTGGCGACGAGGGCCTCCCAGGAGGCCCAAACGGCGAAAACGAGGCAAGGGTAGCGGTGTCGGTGGGAGGAGGAGGAGAAGGAGGAGGAGGAGAAGGATAATGACCAGTGTAAGCCGAAGACTCATCAACGATGTTGGAATATTCCTTCCCTTCAAGCTTCCTTTTCATAGCCCCTACAAGGATTCATGCCCACTACAGACAGTCGGGTAAGTTGGTACGGTTTGACAAACCGGCCCGAAGCTTCAAATCGCACGAAGTTGCCCAGCTGTCGGCCCCGAAAGCACTCCAGACGGTCCCAAAATGGAGGGTGTGAACATGGCCTCGGGCATCGGATCCAGGTATGGATCGGCTACGGATCTTGGGCGGATCCGATGCATTGTTCGCGGATCCGGACATTCGGAACGGTGATAACCTAGTCTGTTTGGACGGATCCTGTCGAACCATTGTACCCTTATATGATATTGATTAAGTGTAGTGAAGGTTTTCGAAACTGGCTTCCGGTCGGGGGCACGGGGCAGGGGCCACGGTGGGGGGACAGGCGCCTTCTAGAACTTTACCGAAGCGTTCCTTCTAGAATCTTACTGACCGCGTCGTTCCTTCTAGAATATTACTTTGCCGGCCCTTAGAGGGCTCTTTTGTTTTACCACGGGAAAGTACAATCGCGGAACTGGTGCATGTTCAGACCCCGCGGAGACGTTGACACACTCATGCTCGGCCTCAATTATTTTCGAAAGAGCGTGTTCTACCGCTGCTGGCGGAAAACCAGGGGGTGTCACTACCGGTTCGAACCCCTCCCCCCCACCCCCCTCCGGAAAACCAGGGGGGGTCACTACCGGTTCGAACCCTTCCCCCCCCCCCCAGTTCATCATGAAAAGGGGGGCGGGTCACTACCGGTTCGAACCCCCCCCCCCCTCGAAAACCGAGTGGGGGTGCGGACAGTGGTGGGGACGGTGTTGGTGGGGACAGTGGTGAGGGGACAACGGGACAGTGGTGGGAACAGTGTGACAGTGGGACAGTGGTGGGGACGGTAGTGGTGGGGACAGTGGTGGGGACAATGGTGGGAACAGGGGGCACAGTGGACAGTGGTGGGGACGGTGGTGGTGGGGACAGTGGTGGTGAGGACAGTGGGAATGAGGTGGAAACAGTGGGATAGTGGAGGGTACAATGGTGGTGGGGACAGTGGTAAAGGCGGTGGCGAGGACGGCGGTGGGACAATGGGACAGAGGTACAGTGGGGACAGTGGTGGGGACAGTGGGGACAGTGGTGGGAACAGTGGGACAGCTCAGTGGGACAGCAGGAGTCAGTGGGACAGTGGGGACAGTGGGGATAGGCAGTGGTTGGGTCCGTGGAGACAGTGGGGAGAGTGGAACCGTGGTGGGAACAGTGGTGGGAACAGTGGGGACAGTGCGACAGTGGTGGGGGCACTGGTGTGGACAATAGGGACGGTGGTGGAACCAGTGGGGACAGTGGTGGTGAGGACAGTGGTGCTGGGAACAACAGTGGGGGATGTGATGCGAGCGGTGGTAGGGACCGGGAGTCGTTTGCTGGCGGTGCGTGGGGGGGGGGGGTCGAACCGGTAGTGACCCCCCTCCGGTTTTCGAGAGGGGGGGGGGGGTCCAAACCGGTAGTGACCCCCCCCGGTTTTCCGGATCCGGAGGGGGGGGGGAGGGGTTCGAACCGGTAGTGACCCCCCCGGTTTTCTAGGGGGAGGGGGGGGGGGAGGGGTTAGGGGAAAGGGGGGTTTTGCGGGGGGGGGGTCCAGCAGGGGGGGGGGGATGTTCGGAGGGGGGGGGGGAGACCACCGGGTTCCGGAGGAAAAAGTTCGCAATTTTCCACAGTAAAGCGGCGGTGGATCACGCTCTCTTTTATTTAATCGCTTCGCTCATTCCGCCGGCCCATACAGTCTCATGTCTGCCGTTTGCCCGAGGGCCTGGTGTCAATGCGGCGCTTTGGGGGTTCCTGGGGCCGCTTGGGGGACTCCTGGGGCGCTCGGGGGGGCATTTGGGGGGCCTCCTGGGGCCGCTTGGGGGACTCTTGGGGGCCTCCTGAGGGCCCCGTGGGGGCCTCTTGGGGCCTCTTAGGGGCCTCGTAGGGGCTTCTTAGGGCCGAGGGCTCGAAATGTTGTTTCGTGTTCCCTCTCTGGGGCCCCTTTGGGGGCGTTCTTGGGGCCCTCTTGGACCGTTTTGGAGGCTTCTTGGGCCGTCTTCGAGCCCTCTTGGGCCATCTTGGGGCCCTCTTGGGTGCCTCTTGGGCCCTCTTGGGGCGATCTTGGGGGCCTCTTGGGCCGTCTTGGGGCGTCGGGAAGCCGAAAAGGTGGAAGCTCCAAAATCTCTCAAAAACCTATGGAAAAACAATGATTTTTGCCTCCGGGGGCCCTATTGGGAGTGCTCTTGGAGGCCTCTTGGGGCGTCTGGGGGCTATCTTGGGCGTCTTGGAGCGATCTTGTGGCATGTCGGACCCCTCGTGTACCATCTTGGGGGCCTCTTGGGGGCCTCTTGGCCTTTCTTGGGGCTCTCGGGGACGTCTCGGAGCCCTGTTGGTGCGCTCATGGAGCGCTCGGGGGGGCCCGGCCGGGACCCGGCCGGGACCCGGCCGGGACCCGGCCGGGGACCGGCCGGGACCTGGTCGGGGTACTTTTCGTCCGGGGACCCCCAGGGGCCGCCCCGCGCGCGCGAACTAGAAAATTGTTAACCAGTTACCGGAGATCTTAGCACGCCTCTGGCCCGTTGGGCCGGCGAATTTTCAGACACGCGCTCATTCATAATCACTCGTCGAATATCACTCGCGCCCACACCCGCACGTGCCCAGGCCCAGTCATACCCCAACCCCATTCGTGTCCAGACTAAGATGGTCTCGCCCTGCGCAGGGGTTCACTCGCACGGAGCCGCTCAGACCCCCTCCGTCCCGCGCAGGGGCTCACTCGCACCGAGTCACTCGGAGTCCCCCTCGGGTGACACCCGCCGAGGGCACGCGACAACCGCCCCCCAAATACCTTCAACAACTCGGGAGGCTGCGGCCTCCACTGGGATTCCGACCGCCTGTCTTGCCGCTAGGGCCGCGGCGTCGGTGATCCCGAGTTGCTGAAGGCCCCAGGAGGGGTCTTCGCGTGCCCTCGGCAGATGTCTACTGGAAAGAAACGAAAATGAAACCTTCGAGCGGGTGAGAAAGCGCGCGCCCGGCGAAGTCGGGAGAGCGAGGCCCTTTTCGTGGCCGCCCGCGGGGTTTCGCGGACGTGCTGGACGTGCCAAGAGGGTCCCACAAATCGTGCCAACTTTATCGGACTGTCTGTAAGGAAAAGCGCCCCGTTGGGGGACAACCGTGCGAAAATCCTGAAGCACGCGAAGATACCGTTTTCAGGACTTCTCGCCACGAGTCCACCCGACTCTTGCGTCTTAACGATCCTGCATTGTGCCAGAACATCATTCCGAGGAGGAGGCGGCGGAGGAGGAGGAAGAGGAGGAGGAGGAGGCGGAGGAGGAGGAGGAAAAGGAGGAGGAGACCCCCCAACCCCAACGAGGCAAGGGTGGCGAGATCGGCGCCTCTCTTTTTTGCTCCTCGGAGGAGCGGCCGGGCCTCGGCGGCGGGCCTCGGCGGCGGGCCTCGGGCGGCCTCGCGCCCCCATGGCGCCCCCTCGGTGGGCCGCCGGCATCGACGCGTTCCGCACCGTGCCGGTGGACCTGGCCGAGGCGACGCGCACCGGGGCGGCCATGACGCTGCTGGCGGCGGTGACGTGCTCGGTGCTCCCAGGAGCCATCGGCTGCACCCAGAGATGCCACGGCTCCCTCGCGTCCCAGAACCAATCGCGACGGCGGGCGTTTCGCTGTTTTCGGGGGCCCTCGCCGGGCCTCGGGACCGGCAAACAACGAGGCGGCAGGGCAAGCCGGTCCCCGGGCAGGGGGCGAGACTTTTGGGGGTCGACGTCTTGAGAGCAGACAGTGACGTCGGGGGTCTGGGACGCACGGCGCGCCGAGGATCGACGGAGAGAGAGCAGCATGAGCATGCACTTTTGGCGCTCGGCGCAGCCTCCACAAGAAACCTTCCATGGAAGAGGGGCGAACACAATAAGCATAAACTTTTGGCGCTCCGCGCGGGTTTAGTGGATCCGCGATGGGCCCCCCCTGGCGGCGCCTCCGGCGTCGCCCCCGGCGCGCTCCGCGCGCCAGGGAGGGGGGGGGGGTCCAGCGCAGATCCAAGACATCCGCGCGGCGCGCCTAAAAGGTTAGTGCTTCGGCCGTTTTTCCTGTCTCTGTGGAAGGCCTCGGCTGCACGCACCCAGAGATCCGAGGATTTTTTTTTGGCACGGCCTCCGGGGCCCGTGATCTGGCCCGGGGAAGGCATCAAGGGTGGGTCTGGGACAAGGAGATCCCCGCCAGGGAAGGGATCGGGACCTGGCGGGGCCGCGGACTGAAAAGAAGTCAGATCGGCGGATGCCTGGAAACAGTGGCGAAGAGTTCGGGCTTGCACACAGGCCCACCAAAGAGTAGTGTTCTGATGCAGAGTTGTGGTTGGCGCGGGATGTTCTCAGAACATTTCTGGCCGGGAGTGTCTTGTTTTTATCCATCGACTCTATGTTCTAAGAACATTTTTTTGGTTTTTAGAACATTCTCTTGTTCTAGGCACATGCTTTGGCAGGCCTAGGAATGCCCGATAGTAGCGTCATGAGCGCTTATGTTTGGTCCCCCCGCGGCTCCCCCAAAGCCGCGCACCGAAGGTCACTCTTACCCAGGGTCACTTGCGTGTAGCCGGAGGAAAAGGTACCGATATTGCTGCCCTTACCTCGCTTCGGGGCTCAAGGGACGGGGGTCCATGCAAACGGAGGTCAGCCAGATCTTACAGGATCCTGCAGAGCCAGGGCTGCACTGACCCGGGCTAGCGCGCAGGATCTTGCAGGATCCTGCTGGATTTTGCCGGATCCAAAGCTTGACTTGCCCAGGTCTGGATTGACCCGGGTCAGTAGATCCCCGATCGTTTTCGCCTTCTTGGGCCTCCTGGGAGGCTCTCGTCACCACAGCTGGATTCGCCTCGAAATCCTGGTCAGAACGCGCGCCAGGAGAGGTTTGGGGAGTAGTGTTAAGTCGGGCGTGTCCCTCTACAGGAGGAATGTTCAAGAATGGTTTACAAATAGTCCAGGGACGATTTGTGGGGTATTTTTGAGCATGCCTGGACTATCTTTTGACTATTTTTTTTCAGCCCAAATCCGCCTGTAGAGGGACCTGCCCGACCTAAGAGTAGTGGTATCGGTACCTGTTGGCGCCGTGCAGCAGGGTATGGATCAAAAGCGTGGCCACGGAGGCCAGGATTTTGTCCACATATCCCGGGCCTGGCCCCTCGTGACCTTCGTGGGGGGTCTGGGCGTGTGAGCAGAGGCAATGGCCAGCGTTCTGATCGCCCAGGTGCTGTTCTTCTCGAGGAACGGACAGCGGCGTAGACGCAAACTCTTTGGTGGTCCGCGCCGATTTCTCGGATCGGCGCTGGACCCCCCCGAATTTTGATCGCCCAGGTGCTGTTCTTCTCGAGGAGCAAAAAGCGGTGTGGACGCAAACTCTTTGGAGGTCCGCGCCGATTTGTGGGATCGGCGCTGGACACCCCTTGCCAGCGCCTCCGGCGCCGCCCCTGGCGCGCTCCGTGCGCCAGGGAGGGGGTCCAGCGCCGATCCAAGAAATCCGCGCGGGTCTCCAACAGTTTTCGTGGATGCTGTTTTTTTGTTCCTCCACCTTCTGCGAGGTGAGCGCGTTCCTGTCGGCCAATCGTGGTGGCACCCACAGGGAGGCGGTGCGAGTGGGGTGGTCTTCTGAGAAGCCCACCCCCCCTCGCGCCACCCTCTTGTGCGCGCCGCCTGCAAGCCCCGGACGGACGTCGTGCTGGACAGCAACCAGGACTCGCTGCTCCGCATCAACTTTGACGTCTCGATGCTCGACATGGCGTGCGATCACGTGACTGTCGGGGTCTGGGACGCGTTCGGCACCGAGAGGATGAACATCACCAGTAACGTCCTGAAGACGCGCCTAGACCACAACGGGGCGTCGAAGGGCCGCCCCTACACGGAGGACGAGCTGGTAGCGCTGGAGTTCGCGGACGCCAGTTTCTCGACGGAGGAGCAGAGGGAGCTGGACTCCGACTGGAGCAGCTCCAGCGACCAGTTCCACCACGACGACTTCCAGTCGGTGGTCGACGCGCACGACTACACGTTCGTGAACTTCTACGCAGACTGGTGCCCCCACTGCAGGGCTTTCGGGCCCACCTGGGACGCCTTCGAGGCGCAGCTGAACAGCGCCGAGAGGCCCGTCGTGGACGCCGACGGGGCGAAGGCGAACGTGAGAGTGCTGAAGATCAACTGCGTGGACTTCGAGGAGACGTGCCAGCAGCAGAAGGTCCACTCCTTCCCGACCGTGAGACTCTACCGCCGCGGCTTCGACCAGAAGCAGTGGGTGGACTTCCGGGGCAAACGCGAGATCGCCTACCTCGAGTCCTTCGCGCGCCACGAGGTCAAGAAGGCCCACAGAAACGCAGACGCGAAGTTCCACGACATCTTCAGCGAGGGCTGCAGGATCCAAGGCTTCGTGGAGGTCGCGCGCGTGCCCGGCACTGTGCACTTCCAGGCCATGCACACGGCCGACCGCACGCTGAATCTGGCCTTCACGAACGTTTCGCACCGCATCAACAGCTTCACCTTCGGCGAGGAGCCCGCAGCCATGCGGCGCATGCTGCCGGAGGAGTATACCAGACACGCGGCCCCCCTGGACGGGCGCAGCTTCACGGTGGACAAGTTCCACCAGGCGCCGCACCACTTCATCAAGGTGGTGCACACCCGCTTCGAGGCGAGCGACCTCCGGAGCTACCAGCAGACCCACCAGTGGAGCGTGCGCACCATCCAGCGCAAGACGGTGCCGCAGGCCAAGTTCTCCTACGACCTGTCGCCCGTCGAGGTGGTCATCCGCAAGGGCGAGAGGCGGTGGTACGACTTCGTGACCTCCGTTTTCGCGATAGTCGGTGGCGCCTTTACCGTGATGTCCATGGCATCTGGTGTCCTCAACGTCGCCTCTGCGCAGTTCAAGCGCTCCATCAACAAGATCGGGTGACCGCTTGGCCGATGGCTGACGGGGCGGCGCAGGGGAGGAGGGTGCCAGCTTTCTTCTTGGAGGGGCGGGCGGGGAAGGAGTGCAAGGACGAGCGGTCGCAGCATCGAAGCTGTGAGGGCAGCGGAAGGCCTGCAGCTATCATTTTCCAGGTCTAGACTCTTCGCACGGCCGGCCAGGTGGTCGGGCCGAACGAAAGGGGGGGATAGGGAAAGGGGGGGTTTACGAAATCTGCTGCATGCAGCTGGTTTCGGCCCCGCCGCCGGGCCCATTCCTCGATACATGGGCGCCTCCCGGCGCCGGGAGGCGTTGGGAAAATCAGCAACGTGAGTTGATTCTCTCTACCTTTTCCTATCCCCCCTTTCGTTCCCCCCGAGGTGGGCAGCCACCTTCGTCCTTCCCCGACTACTCCGCGCGCCGCTGGCACGGCTGGTCGCTGCATGCGTCGAGCCTCGCCAGGGAGGCACGAAGGGCAGCAGTGACGTGTCGGATTCCCCCCGCGGCGCCTGACCTCGAAGAAGAGCAACCGACACAAGCATAACAAGCTACACAAACATACACTTTCAGAGCTCCGCGCAGATCTCTTGGATCTGCGCTGGGGCCTCCTTGGCGGTGCCCCTGGCGCCGCCCCCTCGGCGCAGAGCTCCGAGAGAAGGCTGCGCGGAGCTCCGAGCGTTGCTGCTTCCGCAGTTCTTTTTTTGTGGTTGCTTGCTCCTCCCGTGCCTTGTCTTGCCTCCTCGCTCCCTTTCCCCCCTCGCCCCCCCCCCTCCCCTTATGTCGGGCCTGTCCCCCTACAGGGGGGATTCTCAACGAAAAATGAAAAAATACCCCAACAATAGCCCCAAAAATAGTCCAAACATAGTCTGGGGACTATTTTTGGAGTATTTTTTGACCTGTTTGGGGTATTTTTTTGGTATTTCTTATTTTTCGTCGAAAATCTCCCTGTAGGGGGACACGCCCGACATGACCCTCCCCCCCGCCCTCCCGTCGGCAGCGATCGCGGCCCCCGGGCCACGGGGGCCCGGCCTTCCGATCGCAGCGCCGCGCTCCGAGGCGAAGGCACCTTCTCCAGCGTCATCGCCGAGGCCTTTCTCGGCAAAGAGGACGCCACTTTGGAAGTCGTCGTCGTCGTCGCCGTCGCCGTCGTCGCCGTCGTCGTCGTCGTCGTCGTCGTCGTCGGTGGTCGTCGTCGGTGGTCGTCGTCGTCGTCGCCGTCGTCGTCGCCGTCGTCGTCGCCGTCGTCGTCGCCACCGCCGCCGTCGTCGTCGTCGTCGTCGTCGTCGTTTTGTGTGCGTTTTGTCAGGGAGCGGTCGCCTCTCACGTGGAGCAGCGATGACGGGGCCGAACTGAGGTCTTCATGGATAGTGCGCCGTCCATCACGGCGCAACCAGCACGTTCACCTCACCTTTTAGAGCGGCACTGTTAGACCGTCCGGAGTGAGCATACTAATACAGGCTCAAAGGAGTCAAAGAAGTTGTCGTCGTTCTCGTCTTCTTCTCCCTCGTCCTCCTCCAGCTTATCTTCGCTTCTCCTCGTCGTCGTCATCATCATCCTCTTTCTCCTCGTGTTTCCTCCTTCGGAGACATTCGTGATTCTGCGGGATTCTTCGCCCCCCCCGCCCCCCCCTGAACACCGCACGAGAACTTGTGAACACTGCTTTCCCCCTCCTTCTTCTCCTCTCCTCGTGTCCGTCGGCCGCTACTTCCTTCTTCTCGTCCTCCTACTTTGTCTGGGGCCCTTGAGAGCACAACTTCTGGGGCAGGCATTTTTGGGGAGGGCGGGGGGAAGGCCGAACGATGATAGAAGCAGGGCGCCCTGTTCCAGGAGGACGCAGGACCATCTTAGGTGACTTTCTGCTCCCTGCTGTAGACAGGAGGAGCGCAGGCGAGGGGGCAACGACGACTGATGTCATCGACGAGCATGCACGAAGCCCGGTAGGGCAATATTCGCTGCGATATGCTTTTGGACAGTATTCGCTGCTGGGCATGGTCTCCTTTCCTGCGTCCCTCTTACCATTTTGGGCGTGCCCATACCCGTGTCCGAGACGTTGGGACTCAGAACCGCTTCGGGCTCGTCAGGGGCTTCGGCGTTTGAGCCGCTCCTGCTAGATCTAACCGGGTCGGGGAACCTCTTCACGGCCGAGGCTCTCCGTGAGGCCAGGAACGCCCCTCTTCGTTCCTTATTCCGCGCTCGTCATGGTAGCACGACGACCGCAGCACGTGGAAGCGCAGCGTTGCACAATACTGTCAGCACGACGACGACGGTGATCAGCGCACGTGGAAGCACAGCGCTGTACAGTACTGTTAGCGTCCACACGCCTCTGGTGTATGACTTGTGTGTTTTTGTGACAACTGTATCCGAGGCGGGGACTTGTCCACAACCACCGCCTGGGGGATCGATCTTCGCGTACCTCCACAGGCGGTGGATATGGCTATACATTCGGGCCCCCAGTGGCCAACCTAAATATCCATGTACACCGCCCGCTGGTGCATCAGGACGTCGGTTCCCAGGAGGTGGCTGCGGACAAAATCACCGCCTCGCACCGTGCGTCGGCGAGCGAGGGGGGGAAGTGAGAAGGAGAAGGCCTTCCCAGAGCGCCCGGAAGCCCCCCGGCCTTCTGGGAAGTCTCCCGGGCTGGGCCTTCTCCCCGAAGACGCAGAGCACCCTCCCCAGAAGGCGCGCGGGCCTCTGCGCAGTCCCGCCGCCTGCCGAGAAGGC